TGGGGGGAGAGGGGGCAAAAGGGGCAGCTGCCCCAGGGCCCTTTTAAATCACGATTTAAAGGGCCCGTGGCTCCCAGCCGCCCTGCATACCGGTAAGTCATTTAAGTTACTTTCACCCCGAGCCTGCCTCATCATTTTAGCACCTGAAATGATAATTATCATCCCCCCCAACTTTGAATATAAATATAATGTTTTCTGAAGCATGTTCACATTTCTGAAATACTTATGTCCCATCAGTTAATCTAAAAGTTTATTCCTTGCTTGGGACAGTATTTTTCAAATACGTTGTTGATGTAAATCCTGTGCTGGACCCTATATCAAGTTATGTTTGCTGCCAGCAAGAGGTTAGAGGACAAACAGTATTGATTGTGTTACACATTTCATTGAAGTCAAGTCATGTCATGTGCCTGCTTTTGGCATCTTCTGCCTTGATAGTTCTATCTCAGTTTGCCACAGCAGAAGCAATTCATATTTGTTCTGACCTGTTACACACAGTATTTACAATCTATTAGAAGTGACAAAAATAGGCAAAATTTTCTTCTAATTTCTGACGTTCCTACAATGATGCCAACGTATTCTTGCAATATTAGACTTTTATCAGTGCTGCTTCTTCTCTTTGGAGATTTGTGGCATATAGGCATAGTTTCCTTTTAAATAGCATGATACACAATTGCCTCAATATACTGTATGGCAAAGCTTTGATTTCTTTTCTTTTATGAAAAAACCATTCATTTAAAAATGGTCTACAATCCACATGAAGATCTTGGTTGTAAGGTTTTTGCACTGAGACACTTTTGTTTGTTGGAACGTATATGACAATCATCTATCATTATAGAATTCCACCATTCCACCTAATGTGTGGAACAATTTGTACTCCTGAAATACACTCCAGTCAAGCAATTTAGTGGGGAAAAAATGAAAAACCTCTTTCAGAGAAATCACCTCTGCTTTTGAAGACCTACTATTTAAAAACAATGTAAACATACAAATCAGAAATTAAGCACATTTGGGAGTGTTTCATTTCACAGCAGATATCACTTAATGCAAGTCATTTTTGAGAGAAAGGGTATGTACTGATCTGACAAGAGAATTTTGCCCCTACTCAGGGCCCTGAGATCCTTCAGTATGTATGTTTTCTCCTTCGTGACTTTCTTTTCCTCTGTACTCTACCACAAATAAAGTTAGATAAAGTACCACTTTTGAGGGACTATGTCAAACCTCATTGACAGAAGACCTTGCTTTCTCTCACAAATAGGCATTATCAATCATTTGTTCCAAGGACTGAATATCACTTCTTGTGAGGATTGGAAATCTAGAATTCAGAACTGAAAGAAAGAGAAGGAGGGGAGCGTTTGGGGAAAAGAGAGATAGGGAAATATAGGAAATTGAAAAGGAATAGATAACTACATATTGAGAAGCAGTCAGTAAAGAGGATTTACTGTGCTCAAGCCTATGTTCCAAGGAAGCTAGTGGGAAATGAGACACTGGAAGCTGCTTTTTAAAGTTGACTTCAGTGGTAGGTGGGTCAGGAGATGGACATTGGGTTAGTCTCCTTTTGTGTGTAATTGTATATAGAAAAAACTTCAACAAAATTTCTACTTTTTTTTTTTAAGCTTAGAAATGTCAGTAATGTTGTCTCATCTCCCCTGTTTTTTCTGAAGAATCCAGAGATGTGGTTTCTTGGCTCTTAATTGAAGGAGGTCTTCAATCTTTAGCAAAAGAGCTTTCCTCTGAATTGTCTGTTGTATATTTGAGTTAAATGAGTGTTAACAAAAACAATAGTTTTAAATAGTCTGAATTACAAAAAACAAAAAGCCTGCAACTTCTCTCAGTTAGGTTTCAAATCATAGATATCAGAGTTCTCCACTTACCCTTACGGTCTTCCAGGAAACCAGGGTAAAAAATCTGAACAGAATAGTAACTAAAAAGCCACCTTCGTATATCATAAAAAGTCAGAAAACCATTTCTCTTTCACGTGCATGATATATTTTAAATGTTTGGATTTCACAAACCATGAACTTGTCTCACCTACACTTGTGCCACCCCCTCTCCACGGCAACCACACACCTTTTTATTTTTTTCAATATCAACACACATACACCACCACACTCAAAGCCAGTCTGGTACTGCAGAGTTTAGCTAGAACTGCAGTATTTTTAAAACCAAGTTGAAATTCTGTTTTCAGACACAGTTAAGTCCAGCATAAATGTGGCTTAGCACAAGGATATGTCTACACTGATAAAAAAAACCTGAAGCACCTACTGTCAGAGCCCAGGTCAGCTGACTTGGGCTTGCAGGTCTAGCGCTTCAGGGCTATAAAACTGCAGTGCAGACATTCAGGCTGGGGCTGGAGCCTGGGCTCTGAAACCCTGTGGGGGGGGGGAGGATGTGACCTCTTGGGTGTGATAGGCTAGTTCAGGGGTCGGCAACCTATAGCACGCATGTCCCAGCAGGCAGCAGCGTGCCATTAAAAATCCTGTTCAGCCCAGCCCGGCATGGGGGCAGAAGCTTGGTCCTGCCGGCTCCCCTGCCTGTTCCCGCAGTATGCTGGGTTTCTGCCCCTCCTCCTCCTCTCCATCCCTCCCTCCCTGCTGGACGATCAGCTGATGGCCCTTGCAAGGAAGGGGGTGGGGGAGGAGTGGAGTCAGCGTGCTCGCTGCTCCCAGCGGAGGCAGAGAAGAAGCGGGGGCAGGGCCTTGGGGAAGGGGGTGGTGGAATAGGGGCATATCCCCTCCAGCCCCCTGCCGTGAGCACCCCATGACCCCAGCCTACACCCCCAGCCCTCTGCCCTGACCCCCCCCTCACACACACCCAGCCCTCTGCCCTGAGCCCTGCAGCCCTGCACACCCCCCAGGCCTGTGCCCTGAGTCCTGCGCCCCGCCCACCACCCAGGCCCCTGTCCTGAGCCCTGACTCCCCCTCACACACACCCAGCCTTCTGCCCTGAGCCCTGACCTCCCGCACACCACACAGCCCTCTGCCCTGACCCCCCCTCACACACACACAGCCCTCTTCCCTGAGCCCTGCAGCCCCACACACACCCCAGACCCGTGCCCAGAGCCCTGCGCCCCGCACACCCCCCAGACCCCTGCCCTGAGCCCTGTACCCCCCTCACACACACCCAGCCCTCTGCTTGACTCCTTCACACACACCCCACGACCCCAGCCCCGACTCTGGCACCCACACACATACCCAGGCCCCCCACACCCTATGCCCTGACACCTGCACCCCTCTCACATGCCCCCAGCCCTCTGCCCTGACTCTTGCACCCCCCCACATCCCCACCCCCACCCTAAGCACCAAACACGAGCTCCTGCACCCCCCCCCACATTCCCACCTGCACCCCTTGCACCAAATGGGAGCTGCCCAGGTAAACGCTCCACACCCAAACCCCAACCCTGAGCCCCCTCCCTCATTCTAGCTCCTGGCCAGACCCTACACTCCAACCCCCAGCCTGCTCCTTCACTCCCAGCCCTGTGCTCAGTGCACTCCCACCCTCAGCTCAGTGCAGAGACAGAGGAAGAGAATGGGCCAGAACCAGGGAGAAGGTAAGTACCCACCATATGTGGGCAGGGCCGGGACCCCAGACCAGCAGTGGGCTGAGCGGGTCCAGCAGCCGGCGGATGGAACCCCTGAGTGGCAGCGGGCTGAGCCGCTCAGCCCACTGCCGGTCTGGGGTCCTGGCCACTGGCCCCACACAGCCCGCTGCTGGTCTGGGGTTCTGGCTGCCGGTCTGGGGTTCTGGCTGCCGGACCCTTGCCAGCCGGGGTCCAGGCCACAGGCCCCGCTCAGCCCGCTGCCGGCCTAGGTGAACAGAACCCCAGACCAGCAGCGGGCTGAGCGGGCCGGCAGCGTAAGATCAACATTTTAATTTAATTTTAAATGAAGCTTTTTAAACATTTTGAAAACGTTTATTTTACAATACAACAATAGTTTAGTTATATAATATATAGACTTATAGAGAGAGACCTTCTAAAAAACATTAAAATGTATTACCGGCACGTGAAACCTTAAATTAAAGTGAATAAATGAAGACTCGGCACACCACTTCTAAAAGGTTGCCGACCCCTGGGCTAGTTTATGATCTTGCAAACACTTAAATATACACATCACTCTGCACTCACATGAGCAAGACTTAGAGTTCAAGGTGTCTACTTGCATGAGGAGGATTATGTACATGCTCATGTGTAGATTATGGAAACTAAGGTCCTGGTTCATCACTCACCCCTTGGCCTCCTGGTTTACTTTTGCAGATGCAGTTAAGTGGACATTGCAGCACATATGCCTGTCTGCTACTAACTGGATGGAGAGCACCAGCTCATTTTGCATAGGCTACCAAACAGTCACTACTGGAAGGGGTCTGCACTTGTGATACTAACTCCCGTTCAGCAAAGGATGCAATTATGCATGTGAGCAGTCCCATTAACTTCTAAACACAAGTAGTCTCTGAAGTTAGTGGGCTTGCTCGCATATTTGAAGTTAAGCAGGTGCTTACATATTGCAGTGAGCTCCATGCAGTATCAGTGCCTTAGAAATGAAAGGCTAGTGAGCCATTCCCAAACACCCAACCTGCTCGCTTCTCACCCATGTTAAGCTTTCACACTCCCTGTATTCCACTTTCTTATCTGGTAACCACAGGAAAGGTTTGACAAGCTTTTCTTCAATTCAATTGTTTTTGCATTATTTTGGCTTGTATATTTGCAAAACTCTCCCCACCCCAGTTTTTGTATGAATCAGAAATTATGCTCATTTTCACATTTCAGATGCAACCTAAAAATGATTCAGGCATCAAATTTAAAATGCAAAAAGAGATAATCAATCAACCCTGCATAAATCTTATTTACATTTACATTTCCCCCCTCAATGACCATTTGAAAAGTCTAAAATACGGAAACAGCTTAAACCACTGACATCCTTTCTGTGACAGCAAGTACGAGAAGAGGACAGGACTCTGGATAAAACCAGCATCTTTAGAACTCTCTCTGTTCTCCTTGCTTGCAGAGCGTGGAAGGAGAGCACCATGAAAAAGCAGTGGAGCTCCTGAAGGCTGCTAAAGATAGTGTCAAGTTGGTTGTGCGCTACACTCCCAAAGTGCTGGAAGAGATGGAGGCTCGTTTTGAAAAACTGAGGACAGCACGACGCCGGCAACAGCAGCAACTGCTAATTCAGCAGCAGCAACAGCAGCAGAATACACAGCAAAATCATATGTCGTAGGTGAGACTATTCATTGGTCATGCTTTTGGCTCGAACCTGTGAAGGGTTGAGCATCTCTTACCAGCTACTGAGCACCGACCGCAACAGGAGCGGAGAGTGCTCATCACTTGGTAGATTTCAGTGTGCCCTACCCCAAGAAAAATGCACTTTGCAAGTAGGGGATTTGCCACATCAAAATGTGGTGCTATTTTTCCAAGTCTGAATCTAGAAATCAATACCTGGCATATAAGTCTAGCATGCAATACAAGGAAGGGTCTGAGCAGTAAGTTAGTATTCTTTCTGGACACCCTGTATTTTACTCCAATGAGCCAAAAAAGAGAGTTCTTGTAAAAATTAAGAATTTTTTGCTACCAGCTTTAGGCTTAATATAACAGTCCCTTACTACTATGCTGCAGAGCATCTACACACATGAGGGGAATTTTTCCCAGGCCTTTCACAGCTACAAAAAGCCTCAAATGCACCAAAGCTACTGTGGTTCCATTGCATAATGTGTTGGAAAAGTGCTTAGCTGCAAATCCTACCTCCACTGTGGTAGGGAATATTCCATTCACCGCTTGGGTACTTATATGGCCAAAATTACTGTAGTATCTGAGTGCCTTACAATCTTGAATGTATCCTCACAACACCCCTGTGAGATGGCACTTCCCTATCACTCCCATTTTCTGAACTGAGAGGCTAAGTGATTTGTCCAACGTCATCCAGGAAGTCTCTGGTGAAGCAGGAACTTGAACCCAGCTCTTCCAAGTTGTAGGCTAGTATCCTGCTTTGGTCCCCTAGACAAGAGTCTTTTGCTGAGGTTTTGCATGTGAGATCAGAATTTTGCTTGATGGACCCTTATTCTGTGAGTCTTAGTCAAAATTCCTATTTTCCGCTCTTAATGTTACAGATATAAATGGCTAAGTTTTGTGTAATAAATTGTGTTTTTCTACCTTAAACTGGACTGTTGCAGGAACCATTAAATATTAAAACGCAAAATCTCACGAAAGTTTCAAATAAAGTTTAGCCAATCTCACCCCAACTAAAACTTTAAATGTACTATAGTGCTCATTACAGTTATTCTTAGTTGGGGAGAAAGAAAGGAAGGAAAATATGAGTGACCCAATCCCTCAATTCTTTTTGTTAGCTCTGAGAAATGTTTTTGTTTGTTTAATTCTAGGTTATTCTCAAGAATAAAATCTAGATCAAGAATTCAGTAACCAAGCAATTGGAGCTGTGCTTCAGAATTCCAACCTACAGTTACAAGAAAACAGAGAGAACACAATAACTGAACTTATCAAGAAGTTATGAATAAGTGGTGTAAGAATAATTTAGTAAGAACCAAAACACATCTGGTACCTTCTTTATAAGGCTTTTCAGTACAGTGCAGTCTCAGATACAAGATTTCTATGACTTTATTCCTAATGAGCAGTATGGTAAGTAAACACTATGAAATGTAGAGAAGTTTGGGGCTTCTGAATAAATCATTGTAAGGTCCAATCTTGCACTCCTTATTCTAACAAAACTCTGGCCTATTGGTCAGTGAGGGTTATATCTAAGGAGGCCAAGATCGGCTGCTAGTGAGGGTGAAGTCTTTCTCTGCAGTTATTTCCAGAAATGAACAACTTGTTGTCCATCAACCAAACTGCATCTGTTCAAAATGTTGCCACAAACATAAAACAAACTCCCACATCACACTCCATAACCTCTTTTTACTATATATTGTAGAGTTGTTTTAATCTGACTTCCAGTTTATAATAATTTTCAATTTTTTTTCCTGAAAATAGCAAGTTACTATATTTATAAAGTATTCAGTTGTAGAAGCAATTGGCTTTTTACTCTTGATGTTTCCATATATTTTATTATGCATCAGTAGAGTGAGGTAGTTTTAGATCTACTTTAATTTTATTAGTAGTAAGGCTAGAGAATCTTAGAACGTATTTTTAAATATAGGTATTGCTTGTATCCATTATAGCTGCTATTCTGAAATCTATAACTGAAAACTATAACTGTATATTTATTCCATAAAATATATATTGTCAGAATGTACTTGTTACAGAAATAGGATCTTTGTTACCATGTATTACAAATGTAGTAAGATAATGTTAGCAAAAGACCAAGCTTTGTTTGGCACATATTCATGTGATAAATATAACCCAGCTATCTTAGCTTTTCTGTATTTTAAAATTTATTTTGTATTTCATTGTTAATATATTTAGGAGGAGAAGTGTAAATTGTTCCTGGCATATTTTCTTGTAAGTCAGTTTGATCTTAAAGTTTAGAACTTTATCAAATCAAATTGGAATGTAAAAGCAAAATATATAAGAACCTTTTTAAGTTTACATTTACTTTTCCAAAGATTAATGAACAGTCACAGCCAAAGCTGGAAGGCTAAAAATATCATCTACCTTAGAAGTGAAAAAAAACGTAATCCTCAAATCGTGACCAATTTATTGTCATTTAAAAATATCTCCTACATAGAGAAAAAGGAGGCAAAAAGGAAGTCCTCCAATTCTTGCATACTGAAAACTCCAGTTGATTTCACTTGGAGTTGGGGGCACAAGGAACTCAGAACTATTCTGAAACAATGCTCTGGTTGCAGCCTTGTAACAAAAAAAAGTCAAAACCTGTTACATCTTTTCTTTGCAGGTACTCACATCATTGATCCCCTTCACTTCAGTATAAAATCTAATCAAATACAGAGCAGACAGCCACAGCAGCTACCATAGTAGCATAGATTTAAAAAAAGAATACGTACTGGCCACCAGCTTTGACAGTGTTCCATTACTATACTTAACTGCTGAAAGTAATCATGCTTTTAAAACCAAATTATATTTAAAGCACCAGATGAACAATATAATACCTAGAAATAATTCCATCCAGTGGTCCTGGTGACAACATGAATTAAACAGTGTAGCTTGAGTGTGCCACCAGAAGTTAAAGATGGAATATTCTTTTACTATGTTGTGCAAAGATTTTGTTTGAGTTTTTTTGTTTCATTTTTTAACTTAATAAGATTGTGATGTACCCATTTGAAATATCTATTTTAAAGCTATATTTTTTAAAAAAACATTAGTATTGATAGTATATGAACTATTACTGCATATGACTGTATTATATCACATGATAATGATTTGAGTTACATTGACTACTCTGTAAATTTTCAGAGACCAAATATTACACAGTACGATTAGTGAGACCACTGTATTACATTCTTTCTGAACTCTCCCCTGCCCCTCATCACAATATCTAGATTTTAATGGAATGGACAGTTAGTATAGTAAATTGCCAAAAAAAAAAAAAAAAGAATGTCATTAATGTCTTTATATAGAGAAGCATATCTAATTCATTTGCATATGTTATTGTTCAATAAATTATTTATACATATTAATATAAACATCTCAGTCTCTGCCAACATTTAAAAATAAGAGGAAAGTATAATACAGGTACATTACAACAGAAGGGGCAAAAAATCATTGGGGTTAGACTAGATGACCCTTCTAACCCTATGTTTATGGGGTCAATTTCAATTATCATACCTGCACTGTGGATCTGTAAAGATGTAGCAAGTTAATCACTGGAACAGCCTCTACACACTGCCAATAATCTGTCATCCCCTAAAAACTGAACCTTCAATTATGGATGTTCTCTGCATTTTTCACATAAATCTATAGCTTTGATTCAGCATAGCACTTAAGCACATGCTCATGTATTTAACTAGACCCTAAAAGTGCGCACACAGCTCTCTCTCTCATTCATACATTCCCACTCTTATAGCTAATTGTTTGCCTTTTTATTTATTGCTGTTACTGTATGAAATTGTTTTATCTGCAGTCACTTTAGTAAGTTTAAGGTCTCATTGATTTTGGCAGGAATAACTTGAGCCCCCTCAGATACATTTCCTTGTATTGACAGTGAGTTGAACTAGACCAGTGGTTTTCAACCTGTGGTCCACGGACCCCTGGGGGTCTGCAGACTATGTCTAAGACTTCCAAAGGGGTCTGCACCTCCATTCAAAATTTTTTAGGGGTCTGCAAATGAAAAAAGGTTGAAAACCCCTGAAGTACAAGATCCACTAAATCTTTTCTGTCTCTAACTTGATACTTGTAAAGGAATAAAGGATACCATTCTTTGGGTCAGTGGCCCAGAGCTGGCCTGACTGTCCCATTAGCCCGGCCTGCTGCACCCAAGAAAGAATTGGAATTTAATTAGCTGATCATCATATAAAGAGGCCAGCAAGAAGGGGTTTAGCGAGAGAGGGTATGTCTACACTACGGGATTACTCCGAATTTACAGAATTCGATTTTTGGCAACCGATTGTATAAAGTCAAGTGTATGCGGCCACACTAAGCATATTAATTCGGCGGTGTGCGTCCATGTACCGAGGCTAGCGTCGACTTCCGGAGCGTTGCACTGTGGGTAGCTATCCCATAGCTATCCCATAGTTCCCGCAGTCTCCTCCGCCCATTGGAATTCTGGGTTGAGATCCCAATGCCTGATGGGGCAAAAAACATTGTCACGGGTGGTTCTGGGTACATCCTCTCCCTCCCTCTGGGAAAGCAACGGCAGACAACCGTTTCGCGCCTTTTTTCCTGGGTGAACAGTGCAGATGCCATACCACGGCAAGCATGGAGCCTGCTCAGCTCAAGACAGTAGTCATGAACATTGTAAACACCTTGCGCATTATCGTGCAGTTTATGCTGAACCAGGACCTGAAAAACCAGGCAAGGAGGAGTCAGCTACGGCAGTGCGGCGATGAGAGTGATGAGGACATGGACACAGAATTCTCTCAAACCGCGGGCCCCGGTGCTTTGGAGATCATGCTGTTAATGGAGCAGGTTATAGCCGTGGAACACTGATTCTGGGCCAGGGAAACAAGCACAGACTGGTGGGACTGCATAGTGTTGCATGTGTGGGACGATTCCCAGTGGCTGCGAAACTTTCGCATGCATAAGGGCACTTTGTGACTTGCTTTCCCCTACCCTGAAGCACCAGAATACCAAGATGAGAGCAGCCCTCACAGTTGAGAAGCGAATGGCGATAGCCCTGTGGAAGCTTGCAATGCCAGACAGCTACCAGTCAGTCGGGAATCAATTTGGAGTGGGCAAATCTACTGTCAGGGCTGCTGTGATGCAAGTAGCCAAAGCAATCACTGAGCTGCTGCTACCAAAGGTAGTGACTCTGGGAAATGTGCAGGTCATAGTGTATGGCTTTGCTGCAATGGGATTCCCTAACTGTGGTGGGGCGATAGATGGAACCCACATCCCTATCTTGGCACTGGAGCACCAGGGCAGCCAGTACATAAACCACAACAGGTACTTTTCAATGGTGCTGCAAGCACTGGTGGATCACAAGGGACGTTTCACCAACATCAACGTGGGCTGGCCAGGAAGGGTTCAGGACGCTCGCGTCTTCAGGAACACTACTCTGTTTAAACGGCTGCAGCAAGGGATTTACTTCCCAGACCAGAAAATAACCGTTGGGAATGTTGAAATGCATATAGTTATCCTTGGGGACCCAGCCTACCCCTTAATGCCAGGGCTCATGAAGCCATACACAGGCAGCCTGGACAGGAGTCAGGAGCTGTTCAACTACAGGCTAAGCAAGTGCAGAATGGTGGTAGAATGTGCATTTGGACGTTTAAAGGGTCGCAGCAACACGTTACTGACTCGCTCAGACCTCAGCCAAATCAATATTCCCATTGTTATTGCTGCTTGCTGTGTGCTCCACAATCTCTGTGAGAGTAAGGGGGAGACTTTTATGGCGGGGTGGGAGGTTGAGGCAAATCGCCTGGCCACTGACTACACACAACCAGACACCAGGGCGATTAGAAGAGCACACCAGGAAGCGCTGCGCATCAGAGAAGCTTTGAAAACCAGTTTCATGAGTGGCCAGCCTACGGTGTGAAAGTTCTGTTTGTTTCTCCTTGATGAAAACCCGCCCCCTTGATTGACTCATTCCCTGTAAGCAAACCACCCTCCCTCCTTCGATCACAGCTTGCTTTCAAAGGAAATGAAGTCACTATTGTTTAAAAATCATGTATTCTTTATTAATTGATTATAAACAGGGAGAGAACTGACAAGGTAGCCCGGGTGGGGTTTGGGAGGAGGATAGGAGGGAAGGAAAAGGCCACTTCAAAAGTTCAAAATAATGACAGCCTTTTCCTTGGGCTGTCCACTGGGGTGGAGTGGGCGGGTGCACGGAGCCTCCCTCCCCACGTTCTTACACATTTGGGTGAGGAGGCTATGGAACATGGTGAGGACAGTTATACAGGGGCTGCAGCGGCACTCTGATCCTGCTGCCATTCCTGAAGCTCCACCAGATGCCGGAGCATGTCCGTTTGATCCCACAGTAGCCCCAGCGTTGCATCCTGCCTCCTCTGATCTTCCTGCCGCCACCTCTGATCTCGAGCGTCCCTCCTCTCTTTACGTTCGTCCCTCCTGTCCTCACGTTGGTCCCTCCTGTCCTCACGTTCACTGGCATCTTTCCTGTACTTTGATACAGTGTCCTTCCACTCATTCAGATGAGCTCTTTCATCGCGGGTCGATTGCATGATTTCCGAGAACATTTTGTCTCTCTTGCATTTTTTTCGCCGCCTTATCTGAGATAGCCTTCGGGACAGAGGAGGGAGGCTTGAAAAATTTGCAGCTGTGGGAGGGAGGGGGGGAAAAGGGAGAGAAGTATTTAAAAAGATACATTTTATAGAACAATACTTATACTCTTTCATGGTGAACAACACTACTCACATTACATAGCACATGTGATTTTGGTACAAGGTCGCATTTTGCATCTTATATTGAGTGCCTGCGGCTTTGGTGTTAGAGATCACAGACGCAGGGCCGGGCAACAGAATTCGACTTGCATGCAGCCATGGTAAGCAATTGTCTTTCGACTTCTGCAACCTTCATTAAAGCAGCGCCCTCCTTTCCCATACCAAGCAAAGCCCGTTGAGTGCTGTGGTTTTCCTGTTAACGTGCAGCAGCAGAAACCAAACTAAACCCCCACACCACCCATCCAATTCTTTGGGATGATCGCTTTACTCCTCCCCCCACCGCGTGGCTGGTATCAGGGAAGATCCCTGCTAGCCAAACGTGAAAAGCTCAGTGCCAATGCCCCTCCCTCCTCCCCCCACCGCTTGGCTAATTGCAGGGAAGGATTTCTTTTCAGCCACAGGCAAACGGCCACCTCTGTCCCCTTAATTAAATTCCCGTATTTCAACCAGATTACCATGAACGATATCACTCTCCTGAGGATAACACAGCGAGATAAAGAACGGATGTTGCTTGAATGCCAGCAAACACCGGGACCATATGCTGCCAGGCTTTTGCAATGATACCAGATTCCTTGCTACTAGCATGGCGTGGTCAAGTGTCCTACAATGGGGGAAGGAATAAGGCTGCACTGCCCAGAAACCTTCTGCAAAGGCTTTTGGAGTATCTCCAGGAGAGCTTCATGGAGATGTCCCTGGAGGATTTCCGCTCCATCCCCAGACATGTTAACAGACTTTTCCAGTAGCTGTACTGGCTACGAATGCATCCCAAGTCCTCAGGGCAAATTAATCATTAAAAAAAGCTTGCTTTTAAACCATGTTTTATATTTACAAAAGGTACACTCACCAGAGGTCCCTTCCATGGCCTCATTGTCTGGGATAACGCCTTGGGAGGGTACTTCAGTCAGGCTGAGAAA